TCTGTCTCACACCACAGCCTGTCTCACACCAACAGCCTGTCTCACACCACAGTCTCACACCACAGCCTGTCTCACACCAACAGCCTGTCTCACACCACAGTCTCACACCACAGCCTGTCTCACACCAACAGCCTGTCTCACACCACAATCTGTCTCACATCACAGCCTGTCTCACACTACCAGGTGTGAAAGCACCTCCCACTTATCGAGGACAGTGGCTACCTCTGCTTTGTGCTCGTTGCCTCTTTTATACCTTTGTACTTAAAGTCTTCCCTGAGGTCATAAAAGTTATTTCTGTGTACTTGCCCTGTGAAATCCTTTTGAAGGTAATATTTCTATATCACATCACATTTCATTATAGTTAACATCTTTATACCCAAGATCTGAATTGTCCAGATTATATTGATGTCATGCAGATTTTTTTACATTGATTTGTGGGTTATTTGTATCTGATTTTTGTTAATCAAAGTGAATTGAAAATATTTTTTTTTTTGTTTTGTTTTTTTTGTTCACAGACCTTACGGAGTCTCTTCAAAAATGAAGGGCCGATTGAATCCATCCGGTTTCGTTCTGTGGTAATAACATTAAATAATAATTTACATGGCACAGAAACACTGCAGTTTGTCGAATATCTCCTTGTTCTTTTTAATCTCCTGACTTATTTCTRTTTCATTCCAACAGGTTAGAGAGGATCCTTCCATGTCACGTAAATTAGCAGCAATAAAGTAAGTTTCTGACTGATATACGTGGTAACATATCTGTGTTATTATGAAAATATAACCGTATTAAGGCTTAAGAATTGGATYTCATCTTTTTGTATAGATTTATTAGGATAAAGGTGCTGGAATCCATGACAAACAGAATAAATATGATGATGCCAGAACAGCTCCTCCCTGAAGTAAATCATTTTTTCCCCTAAAGCTCTGTAATAATTTAAAACTTTACATGTAGAATAACTTGAGCTGACAAAGTGCAGATGTTTTGATGTTCAAACTATAAAAGAAAAGCTTGTAAAATGTTGACATGACAATTAAAAGGTTAGTGTGTGACGACAACTTTCTGTGGTCAAACCTCCAAAACATCATCAAACTTTGATTGGATGAAAATTATTTCTTTCACAAATTCTTGTTTTTCTTGTCATTTCTGTCACYATTACTCCTGACTGAGGTTTGTCTGAGAATTTCCAAAGGAGAGGGACCAGACACAAATTCAAATTTGACAAAACTGTAAAGTTTGATTAGAAAAAAAAATCAAAATTCCATGACAATGAAGCAGATTAAAAAAATATTTACATTGTATCACACTGGTGTGCTATACCAGAAATCACATATTGTAGTAGGAACATGCATTGCCCGCCATAAACAGTCACACTAATATTTAGTGACTGTTTATGGCAGTCACACTCCTCCTTTAGCTTTGACTACAGCACACAGTCTCTTCTGCAGTGTCACATTTATTTCTGACCAGAGTTTTATCTGTTAACCAGGATCTTGTATTGATAACGGGAGATTTGTTCAGGTTAAATGGGGTTCAGGTCTGGACCATCAGGGAAGACACTGGTGGACTCACCCACCTCTGAGTTCTACTGTGGTCTCTCTACTGTCTGGTTTCACCAAACTTCAGAGTCAGTGCTTGTCAAGTGGGGCATGGCCCCATTAAGTTAAGAATTTAAGAATTCATTGGCCTTGAAGGAAGAGAGTAGCAGATATCAAAACATGTTACTTATCTTGAAGCAAAAAAAAACTGTTTTATTTCATTTATTAAAAAAAAACTAGGGGTGTAAGAAAATATCGATACACTGAAATATCGCGATATTTCA